AATAATCTCTCAGTGACATTAGTCTTTTGACAAAGGTGCTAATATTATGAGTAGAAGCTTAGAGATAGTCTGTTGAAATTTGAAATTATAATTGCAATTTCACTTGATCCTAACATCAATGATAACATTTGTGTCATTGTATATATTGAGATCCTAATAACACCCAAAATATTAAAAAAAAAAACAAAGACAAAAAAGTCTTATTTTACACACACGCAGAAAAAAAATATCAAGTTTAAAGACCATGGTAGCTCGAATCTTTAGGTGATATAGGGTTGGCCCACTTAAATTGAATGGGGTGGTATGAAGAACACTTGTAACTTCTTGTCATTGTTTTGTATAAGCCTTTCTCACATTCCAAAGTGGCTATATAGTTGGGTAGAGTCATAGGTTTCACTAAACACCCTTTTTTTTCAGTCCTCTGAATTTGCATAGATTGATGTATTCATGTCTATTAAAATCCTATATGGCTGAAGTATACTAAACACTTTTCGTAAAGCTGTTTTAAATATTGGGTAACGATCATTTCGAACCTTTGTAAAGACTAGAGAGTATGATATACATGAGTTATGGGGGAAAAAGACTGATCCACTCATAGCCCCTACCCATAAAGGAGAATCACATCACCATGCAATCTATTTTAATATTTATATCACCTTTTTTAATTATAGGGGAAATAACAAATTCATATAAAACAATATGACAAACAAATTTAAAGTAGTATGCTTCTCGTAAAGGTTTAGGGATTCTTACATCAAAACAAGAGAGAATCTAGGTTTTTTTTGGGAAAAAGACTGAAAAATATCATTTGAACTTCATAATCCCCAAATGGTATACTGAATTTGAGAAATCCCAATTTGGTTTCAAGAGACCAAATTGGGATTATCATGTTAAAAGAAAAGTTATTAACAGTTATATTGAAGTTGTAAAATTTTCAAAAAAAAAAGAGAGAGTAATTGCTAAAGTTGTAAAAATGCTATTTTTTTTTGAAGTTTTAAGAAAACATATTGTTAAATGCTATACCGAAGTTGTTAATAGAGTTATAGAACTTGTTAATGACATCATTGAAGTTGTAAAAATGTTACTTTTTGAATTTCTCGAAAAACCTGTAGTTAATAGTTTTACAAAAGTTGTTAACCGTTATACTGATGTTGTAAAAATTTTCAAAAAAATTGTTTTCGCTCGCTGGAGCTCCAGCGACCAATTGTTGAATTTTCTGAAAAACCTGCTGTTAATTGTTATACTGAAGTTGTTAATAGTGTTACAAAAGTTGTTAACCGTTATACTGAAGTTGTAAAAATTTTAAAAAAATTATTTCCGGCCACTGAAACTTGTTGAATTTCCCAAAAAACCTGTTGTTAACTGTTATAATAAAGTCGTTAATAGCGTCACAAAAGTTGTTAACTGTTATACTGAAGTTGTAAAAATTTTCAAAAAAATTGTTTCCGGCCACCGGAGCTTGTTGAATTTCCCAGAGAACCTGTTGTTAACTATTATACTGAAGTTGTTAATAGCGTTACAAAAGTTGTTAACCGTTACACTAAAGTTATAAAAATTTAAAAAAAAATTGTTTCCAGCTGTCGGAACTTATTGAATTTCCTAGAAAACCTGTTGTTAATTGCTATACTGAAGTTGTTAATAGCGTTACAAATGTTGTTGAGTGTTATACTGAAGTTGTAAAAATTTTCAAAAAAATTAATTTTGACTGCCGGAGCTCTGGTAACCAATTGTTGGCCGGTAGCCGGAGCTTTGGTGACTGTCGGTGCCGGAGCTCCGGTGACCGGCCAGCCAGTGGGGGCTTTGGTATTTTAAAAACAATAAATAAGTGAAGGGTAGTTTGGTCTTTTCTTTTAACATGATAATCCCAATTTGGTTTCTTGAGACCAAATTGAGATTTCTCAAATTTAACAGACCATTCAGGGATTATGAAGTTCAAGTGGCATTTTTTTTTGTCTTGTTCCCTTTTTTTTAATGCACAAATAATATATCCAGGTCTTTTAATTAATTGAGCATTTTTTATTTTGTATTTTACCATTTATTTGATTGATTCAACCACAAACATGGATGCATGATTCATTGTGCACCAACCTTTAAAAAGCATTTTATTTTTTTAAGATTCACTCACTATCTAATATTATTCATTAACTTAGATTGTGTTGTGTTGTCAATGACAAGTAATAAATCAAGTCTTCTCAACATAACTTTCTCTGTTCAGAATATTTGAGCTCAAATTAAAATCTTACTTTCACTTGATCTAGTAAAAGATTTAAAACAAGAAAGAAAATCTTATTTTTAATGTTGAGGGTAGAATAAGATTAAAAAACAAACATAAATTATTTCTATTATTATATGCAAGAAATTAATGTTTTGGTGATGATAATTTCAATGTCCCCTTCAACCTCTTCTTTCTTTGTCAATGTTCATATAAATCAATGCACTGACCCCATTCCTTAAAATTTTTTCAACACAGAAATGAAAGAAAATTCAATAATTAATACATCAAAATAAAATAAAATGAATAAAATTTTGAAAAACATCACACCATATGATGACCTACCTACACTAGCAAATCGGTATTTGTCCATGGTCACTACACTTTTCCTTAATTTCTCCCTTACGAAACAATTTAACCAAATTATTTAATTTCATGTTGCCACCACCTAATTGGACATCTTCGTTTTCTAAAATAATTTTTTTCCTAAATTTGTCTTGCAATAAAACATTAAAAATTGATGATATATACAAGCTTGATGAACAAAGCAGATTCCTAGAAAAGAAATTCGAAAGTTATCAACTTCTAAAACTTAAATAGAATTCTATTTTGGCAAGGTACAAGAAAGGTTTTATATATTGATTGACAATAAATTAAAATAATAAATAAATTACAAATAAATAAATATATGTTTGAAATTGTCTACTATAGGACTATCAAACAAAACCCAAGTGGGCACAAGGATTGCTGAGCTCTTAACTTCTCCCATTGACTTATATATAGTAAGAATGGAGTGATACATCAATTAATCTATACTTTTTGATGGAAAACACTACCTAACTTTAATATATATATATATTTTACATGAATAATAGCAATGAACCACAAGCCAGCATGCTTTGTGGATAGTGTGCGATCTATTGCTTTTGAATCTTTTAACACCCCCAAGATTGTATTAATTATTTTTAGGTCCCCAAGATGATGACAAGATAGTGTAAATTAAATAATACTATTAGTGTCATGTTAAGTATCAAATCAAGAAAAAAGGAAGCAAAAGAGAAGCTGGTAGCAAGCTGGGTAGGCAAGAAGAGACCAGATTGCTGACGATGGTGGGTTATGAAAGTAGTATTTTGCAGGGAGCAGAACATTAAATGCGCGTGAAATTAGTTTACATTGTCTTATTTAATGCAATCAATTTAAACATACACACACGGACATATTAATATCGTATTTAAACTCAAAATCTTGTTCAAGCATGACAAGTTATATTGTAATTGAGACATCTTGTTGTGATATAATTTTATCATTAACAGTCTAAGGTTATAAGCAAAATCAAATTCATTATCTCTCATATACAGAAGAGTATTTATACCACTAGACTTGAAGGTTATTGGTTGCAATGGACATAATTAGTTCACATTGCTGTCGAGTGATGATGAGGAAGAAGAAGAATGGTAGCTGTTGCAGGACAAGCACCAATAAGTGGACAGAGAAAGATGTGTGTAAGAGAGGGAGAGAGGTAACAAATGTTATTGGTACAGATGTAAAGCTAAGCTAAACGAGGGAAAAGGGGGTTGGAAATACTTGAGACATGGAGTGAAATCAAGATCTATATGATTTCCTAGTTGATTAAAGCAAGGAGGTATGGCATCACTTAAACCACTCTTGATGGTTTTCCTTCCATCCCTTTCTCTTTCTTGATTTCAAAATCTGATATCTAGCACTGTTATTAATTTAGTTTTAACTTCTAAGTTGAGTTAGGCCTCAAATTAAATGTGGGAATTTTTAAAATTTTCATGGTAGAGTTTCTTACCATATTTCTTAATTTAGTGTACCAAGCCCATGGTTGGCACATTCATCCACTTTTAATGGGCTCTAGGATAAAGCCCAAATATCTGAGAAATGCTTGAAGGTATTCCTATGAAAGTTTGAAATTGTGACTTTGGGCAAGGCCGTACTCGGAAAAATCCTCCTTTCAAGAGACCAGCGAGAAGCAAGAGAACAAGATGAATTGATCCGAGGTGGACCTCAGGCTAAGCCCACTAAAACATGCATGGACTTCGTTGAATGGGCTATTCGGCAAAGCCCAAACAAAGCTTAGAAAAATAGCCCTATGTTATATTAAAAAGATAAAAGCTTTCTACCAACAAAGCCTAACATAGTTGGTAGATAGCTGGGTCCCTTAAATATGATGTCCTAGGTTCGAACTAGGCCATATGCATGGAAAAGGTTTTGTTAGGAGAGGCAAAACCCATTTTGGTGATCTTTACGTCTCGGGAGGATTAGTCCCTAATTATCGGCTGGGAAATACTACCTGGTTTTATCTGAATTGCCCTTGTCTCACTTAGAGATTTTAGTCACCATGTTATGCCTAATGGGTCTTTCAATATGATATTTATGATGGGATTATCTTCAGATTACGCTTCTTTTCATGGTTGCTTGAGTAAGCAAATGGTATCCATTTGGCAGTAGTTGGTGGTCTTGTGTAGTTTTTAAGCTGGATATGTATGCTTGATTGAGGATAGCACTATGTCTTGTGGAGATTGGGAGCATCCCAAATTTTAGAAATGATAGGATTTTCTTCCTCGTATCTTTGTCATCATCTCCTTGGTCCATCTTACCTTAGAACAACGCTAATTTGCTAGGTTGTTGATTGTGAAGGCTTACTGTTTATATTTTCTCAATATGTTAAACATCCAACGTGTCTGTCTGTATTCATTGGGAAGGAATTTTTGCAGCCCAGGAGGTTAAAAGTGGAGTTTAAGTGCGCTTGGTGAACTTGCCAAAGAAGAAGAACATCCATAGGGAGCTTAAATTTGCTTCCCAACGGATTCCTGGCATAGTTGATATAGTCCCAGCTGTTTCTGGTAACAAGAAGACCAGGGACCCTGTTTGCAAGGGCTTTGCATTTGTTTATTTCAAGTGTGAAGAGGATGCTGCTGGTTGTGTTCTAACTTCTAACCACAATCTCAATCCCTTTCTAAGTAGTGACTTGCGTCTAGTTCGTTTCAAGTGTTCTAACCCCTCAATGTTGTTGGGTTTTTCAATAAAGTCACTACATATGCATGCTTTTTTCAAGTCAGCAGCATGTCATACTTTGTTTCAAAAATACTTTTCATATGTTATAATTTGATTAATTAATTCAATAGAGACACTTCTAAAAAAAAAAAAAAATGCATCGTAAGTTTTTTTCCCCCTCTTCCAAATCTGATAGATGTAGAGCATTACATCTTCCCCTTGAATAATTAAACATGATAGCGGCCTCTTTCTGAACTTTTGTTGAACAGGGTTCTTTTTTATTTTTATTTTTAATTGATTATATTGCAACTTGATATGTCTCATACAGACCATTACAATAATTTCTGAGAGATGAATATTTGAATGTGTTGATCTAGCTTTTGTCTAGAACCCTCTTCAAAACACAGGGTTCGTGATCCTCCTGCTTAAAATGTTCTCAGGAAGGCATTCTTCTCTCTATGAAAATATGTGAAATTTTGTCAAAGATGGTTCCCTTATACTGGATAATTAATTCAATCTTCTCCGTGTCATTTTAAATCGCTAGAGTGACTAAGAGCTGTATTTACATTAGGATCTATCTGGCATTTAATTATTGCATACCACTGTTATTGTTCAAAATGACTCAATGTGTTCTCGCTGCACCTGTATCTTACAAAATTCAATCCTCCTCCTCTTCACAGGTTTGTGCAACTATACTCTGGGCAAACTGTTCCCTTTGGTAAAATTCAAAAGCGGATGAAGTGTTAGCTTCTGAATGAAATGTCCCCAGTGTCTGCTAGTCTGGAATCAAGCCAAGATGATACTAATGCAGCTACGCCACAGCTCATAGTCCCAGCCATAGAAGAAAGCTCAAATGAGGATTCCAATATGGATAATTCTGCATTCAGTTCTCGGGATGAGACTGCTTCTTGCTCCGATGAATTGGATGCCAAATATAGAACAGAACAGGTTGAAGAGAATGAAGACTTTGGGATCTGCAAAGAGTAACGAACACCCCTGTGAATTATAGAATGCATGTGACATGATTTTTATGTTTACTGATAATGTTCATCCTGTTAATCTGATTTCAGGTCCAAGATAAAGGAGAAGGCAGTTTTAAGTGATGTTTTCTCCAAATACGGAACAAAAGCTGCTTTTTCAAAGGATAGTTAAGGGGAATTAATTGCCATGGCCAAATACTGCTGGGACTAGATCATCACCTGAGGTGTGGACTGTCTAAAGAAACAGACTTGAATGGTGAATGAGGGATGGGATGGTCTCCTTAATTCCACACTGTAATTCTATGTATTAGATCTTATTTCAATCAAAATTTATTAAATATCATGGCAAGACAAAAAGAAAAAGAAAAGCAAATTTAAGCTCAATTCCATTTATTCTGAAATTTTATGAGGTTGTTGCCATTTCATAAGATTATTATATCTTTTTGGTGAGGCACAATCAGTAACATCACCCAAAGTCCCAGAGCATGGACTAATCTCTCTTACAGCAAAGACTAATCTCTCATATTGAGGGGCAAAGAGGACCCAATATAAAAATAATTTTGCCTATTCACCTGCATTAGTTTCTAAATATACTATAATATAATAAAAAGTATGCCAATATTTATTTTTCTTATCCCATTCATAACTTGATTCTAAATTAAAGTGAAATCAGGTCAAGTTTGTTTGATTTCAACCAAACTTGTATAAAGTGATTTTAAGAACAATTAGACGAATTTATTTTATACTAAATTAACTAATATATCAATATGATTAATATACAGTGTAAATTTTTTTGAAAGTTAAACTATTCACAAGCTATTAATAGTGCCTTTATTCTTAAGTAGAATGCAACGTTAATTCTTTTTTTTTTTTTTCCTTCCTTTTTCCTCACATGCTCTCTCTGCGTGATGGCTGTGGTGTAGTCATGGTGAATCTGCTCTCATGGTTGCACATGTTTTTTCATATGTGATGAGATCATTAGGTTAGTTCCTTCAACCCCCATCCATTTTTCCCAGTTGCATTAGTTCACTACTCGTGTGTTTTGTAGCTTTGATTTAGGGTTAGTGTTTGTGATGATGGTATTGTTGGGTCTAAATTTGTACTATTTAAGTTTTGGCTCTCTTGTTTTGTTGGGTTTTTTTCCTTCTTGACCTTTCTAATGTTGATATTTAGTTTACTTTGATAAAATGCAATGGCTGGCAAAAAAAAAAAAAAAAGACAGGATAATCAATCATGAGCCATAATATTTGTATTCATATATGATACTACTTCCAATCTTTAATATAAGAACTCATTTAATTTTTATTTTGATCCTAAATATAATATCTCAATCTATTTTATCTCTTATATTTTTTTTTTCTAAGATGGTCCTTGTAATAATGATATTTTAAGGAAGACAATATCTGTTTATTACAAATAACTCACTTAACTAATTTTCTTAATCTACTCAAATTATTCAACTAATTTTTATATTAAGGACCGGTAATTGACAATAAAGTTCGCATTGGATTTTTTTTCTGGGTAAAAAAATTATATGGTTGGTATAAATATTGATGTTGGCAAAAAAAAAGAAGGAAATATTGATGTAATAATTTTGGGCTTACGGATCTTACCTACGGAAACCGAACAGGCCCATGTTTTCGACCAAACAAATGTACGCGTTGCTGAAAGTCCACCATCACAGAAGCTCCATTTCCGCTTCCTCCTGCTAGCTTCATTGGAAGCAAGCAATTGGTATGAAGCTAATTTTTTCTTGCGCTGCTAATTTTCAATGCGCCTAGGCTATGGTTTATCTTCTACTCCATTTTCTCGGCAACCAACAGAATCGCCGTGATGGGGTTAGAATTTTTGGTCATATTATCATTTCGATGGCTTCATTTTGATTGTATTAGTTTTCGTGCAGAAATCTAGGCAGCCTGGCGAAGTTTACTTTGTCATGAGCTGCTTGTCGCAACTATCATCGTACACTGCTGCTTTGATTACGAGGACCACTTACTTCGTTAGCACACGTTCTCTGTATGGATGTTCTGTCTTTTCATGGAAGAGGAAGTTAGAGTATCCTGCTATTAGGTCTGCCCATTTAGAATTTGTGCTTACAAGGTTTCGTGTTCAGTGCTATTCATCTAGAAAAGGCCGCAAATCTGCTTCTAAATTGCAGAAGCTAGAACCTGAACCAGTGATGGAGCAAGAAAAGGATGCTTTTTTTGTCGTACGTAAAGGGGATATCGTTGGTATCTACAACAGTCTCATTGAATGTCAGGCTCAAGTTGGATCTTCCGTAATTCTCTTGGCACCCAATTCTCCACCGTTTACGGTTTGCATCTATGATATGTTGTCAGCTAGGTTATGCATAGTTTCTCATGCATCTGTGACAGAATGTTCTATTAAGACTGTGGAATGACTTCTATTGTTTATCTCACGGTTACACTTCTTTCAGACTTCAACTGAATGAGGCAATGAGCTTTTCCTATTGTCTGAGAAAAGGATCACAACTGATAATTTGTTATTCTAATTCGACTATTATCTTCCATAGTTATTAGAAGGCTTTACAAGGTGATGCATTAAATTTTTTATTTCCGTACTATATAGTTCGTTTAATGGATGATTCTATGTCACCTGGTAGATATGCAATCCTCCTGTTAGTGTGTACAAGGGATACTCCCTGCCTAAGGACGCTGAGGACTATCTTGTCTCACGGGGACTAAAGAATGCCTTGTACACTGTAAGAGCTGCTGATTTGAACGAGGATATATTTGGTACTCTTGTTCCTTGTCCCTTCCAGGTAAGAGAATTATTGCCTTTTATGTAATCATCCCCATCACATGTATGCTTCAAATTAGAAAATCGAGAAAAGTTTTCATTGATTGTGAATTGAAGAAATTGCTTTTCTGCATACCTGATATGAGCTTGAAGAAACTTCGTTGGTTCTTACTGTCGATCCTACTCATTTTAGGGAAATTTTGATCCATATTAAAATTTCCTTTAATGAATTGTCAAATATCTAATACGGCGGTTAATTGAGATGCTCATTAGGCATCACGTAGTGATGGAACTTATTCCTTTTTCATTTTTGGTCTGTTCTGGGGTAAATGTTAAACATAGAAGCCTTCAAACATGTTTAACTTTTTCCATTTTATATTACTTTTTCTTTTTGGTTTATCCTTAATCACAAATCCACAGAACCATTTTGCTTTACCTTTGAATAGCTAGGTGGCAGTCTTCTATTGTAATATCCAGCAGATTCCTGTTTCTTTGATAAAAGTTCATGTTTGTTCTGTTCCTGATTCACTTTAGAAGCTTGAGATTCATTATTCTCGAGAATGAAAATTGATGTTCATGTATCCTTAGGATCCAGCTTCTTTGGAGGCAGGCACATCAAGCAATGCCGCATCTAAAAAGAGATCTTTGGGTGTGCTTGGACAAGAAAATGTGGTGAGTTCTGCAATTTTAGGAACTGCAACTTGCTTATCTATAAAGCAATGTTATGTGGATTTTGTATAAAGCTGTATCCCTCCAAAGTTGGTTTTCATCTTTAATCCCTTAAGTAATTGCATCACCATTATCAAATTTGAATTTGAATTATGATGTGATATCCTTATTATACCTCTCTACCTTGTATTCTTCCAACAGTAAATGTAACAGTTTTAGATTTGAGTGCAGAGAGTTCGTGCTTAGCATGGAACCATATAATATATTACCTTTGGATATATAGATATATTATCAAAATACATTTTTAATTATATACAAATACGCTTTAGTTAAACGTGATAATAAGGTTTTGATATTGATCTGTGTAACTTCTTAAATAGTCCGAATGCTTGGTTATAAAATGCTGTGACAGTTTTGGGATTTTCAGCCTCATCAAGTGTTACTAGTACCTGCATAGTCAGCCGATGTTGATATTGTTGGCATGGCTTTTGCAATATATTTTGCTTAGCTATGTGGGTTATGTGACAAAGCCTGATTTTCCTCACTCCACTTTGTGCTGTCACTAGATGTTTGGGTGATTTATTTGCTAAAATAATCTGATTAAAAAGATGACTTTGTTGATTATTGGATGATGTCTCATTTTTATTTTCGTACAGAAAATGTTTTGGATCTAAATCTGTAAATCCTTTTTAGCCTTTTTTCCCTTTGCATTTCCGTGTCAGGTTTTCTTCAATGAAGCAACTTTATACCATACTTAAGTTGCCGCTATCTAAATTCCTGTCTCCCTTATTGTGTAATCGTAATATATTTGATATATATCTTATACTGCTTAGGAGGAAGGAATTGGTGTGACATTCCTCTCTGAAGACCCATTGAAAAAACAAGTGAAGTTAGATCATTCTGCTTTGGCTCAAGTACCATCATCTGAATTGGTGAGTAGAAACAATGTACATGCTTGTAGCTGCTAAATAATGTTTACTTGATGAACCTTTATTTCAATCAGTTACTGCTGCACCTTCACCACAGGCGATGTTGTCATGTCACCTTGAGTACTTTAAGTGTAAAGTATTGAGTGACAATTAGTGCTAAATGAATTATATGCTACTTTTGTTTGGATGCAATCCTTTCTCTCTCTCTCTCTCTCTGTTTTTTTTTTTTTTTGGGGGGGCGCTGGTGGGGAGATTTTTATGTTTTGACTGTTTACGTCCTTTCAAATACCGCTTTTACTTGTTGTAGTGAAGCCTCATGATCTTATTCTTCTATAGAGGGTTTGTATTCTTGAGTTCGATGGTGCATCAAAAGGAAATCCTGGAAAAGCTGGTGCAGGGGCTATTCTGCGCTCAAGTGATGGGAGTTTGGTATAATTTTTTTGTTTCTACTTCTATTCACTGTTTGCTTTCAACTTAGGCCACTTTAATTATTATTGTTTTTAAAGATTTGTAGGTTGCGTGAAGGTGTGGGTGTTGCAACCAATAATGCTGCTGAATATCGTGCTTTAATATTGGGAATGAAATTTGCACTTCAAAAGGGGTTTACTGGTATTCATATCCAAGGCGATTCCAAGCTTGTTTGCATGCAGGTTTGTCATTTTATATGCCTGTCTCTATCAATTTATTTGATACATTATACTTATATGTGGAAGGTATCAGTTTTTATCACGTCTTCATTGTAACAGTTCTGAGGACTGTGTTATGGTAGATTGCTTCTTCAGAGTCTGCATCAATCATTTCTTGTCTTCTCTTTATTTGATGTATATTGATAGAAAATATATGTAGATTAAATCAGTGTCTTGATTCATGTTTGACTTGTTTTTGGAGAAGAGTCTGATGCAAGACCCTCCTTCCGGTAATAGTCAACACAGCCTTTATTTCAAGTTTCACGTATCCAGTCTCTAAATTGCCCGTACAGATATAATCAATTTTTGCAGATTAAAAGATGTTAACTCTTTATGTAGGTAAAGAATAGAGAGGAATTTTGAACCCACAGTATCTTAATACTCATCTTGCTATTAAGTTTATCATCGCTTAGGTAACTGAGATGAGTCAAAGGCCAACTATATGTCTCAAGAGTAATGAAAATAAAAATCACATTGTCATTTTCATAATAAAATTCCCAATTGAAATATCCCGTCTGTTCTTAAATAGGGTTTTAGTATCTTATATGTATCCTCGTCACCACATACATAAATGCATGTAATATGTCTTGAAACATTGGCCAGGCTTTGTTTGTCGGGTTGGATAGTCAGAGGGATAAAATCAGGAGCTAAATAAAAAGGAAAGTCAAATTTATGGTTTCTCTCGTACTCTCTGCGCGTGTTATTGCTTGAGTTACAATGTGGTTCTGGTTTTAAAGATGGAAAATCTTATTTTATAGGAGAATAAACATCAGATCTTGTCCATGCATTCTTACATGGCTACATTGGCAACCTTTGATTATAATTTTTGTCACTGGTTTTTCCTCTTCAACTCCTGCTGCTGCATGAAACAGATTGACGGTTTATGGAAGGTCAAGAATGAGAGCATGTCTAGGTTGTATGCAGTGGCAAAAGAACTCAAGGATAAATTTTTATCATTCCAGATCACTCATGTTCTAAGGGTAGGTACATTTGATTGATACTGAGGTTCCAGAAGGCGCTTTTGATTTTTCAGTCCGTGTTACCAGTTCTATTCCAAAATCTCTTTGTTTTGGTAATAGCTCAGGAAATTGAAGATTGAAGTTAAACCAACCCATAACTCATTAGGCATCCCATGAAAATTACTAATGCACAACAAGTCTTATTGAGGACGGCTACATGGATCACAGAATGCTATTGTGCTTTATTAATAATCAACTCTTCAAATAGATGATTCACTAATAGATTCTGTTTGATAAGTTCCTTAAGTGTCTACTGTCTTAGTCTCCTATGTCTCTCTATAAAGTTTATTTGCATAACTCTTCTCACTGGTACTTCCATTAGCTTTCTGTGCACATGTCTGGCTTTTTCGTAAATGATTTACCACAATCTTTTCCTCAGTAGGTGCCACGACATCTTTCTTTCATATATAGTCATTTTGGACTTCATCTTTTCTGTACGACCATACATCTATTTTAACTTTCTTATCTGTACTACCTTAACTTTTTGCTCACCCTTCCTTATGAGCCAAATACTTAAAGGGGATCTCCCAAAATCCAAAATACTCCTCCAGTTCTTAATAATGTTAGATCTAATTAACTAATTTGAGTAAATTAAGAATGTTAGTTAAATTAGTTAATATGATATGTTTTTTCTAAAGCACTGTAAGTATTTTTCTTAATTTCCTCCCTTCTTCTCTCACTTGATTATTGTTGGGGGAATATCAATTGGGTTAATTTGGAATAAATATGTGAAATAGATCTTACATGTAGGACTAACATTAATTCTCCAATTAGATCCTACATTAAGAACTGGAGGAGTATGAAACTGAAATATTTTTCCTTGGATGACTAGCTTTAGGAAGGCTAGTCTATTTATAAAGAGTTTACATCAAAAGGGGGGGAAAAAAATTTAAAGGTAATCCTAATATCTCTAATCAAATAGTTAAATATTTGATTCAAGATATAATAAGATAAACTAAATAAACTAAGATGAACTAATTTAAATCTTCAAGATAAATTACACAATTAAAAATGAGAAAAATTGACTGATTAAATAAACTAGTTAATTTTCTGTTGTTTCTGAATCGGTATCTTATATCTTCTCCTCCATCCTTATTATATTTTAGTTGGTTCTAATCTCTTGATTTCCTTTACCTATTATTTGCAGTTTTGTATATCTTTTGCTCCCCATTTTTCATTACCAAATCCTCATACAATTCCTCAAACCTATTAAATCATGCCTTGTTCACTGCTTTCCTAGTCTCCTTTCTTGCTGTCCGATATGTTTTCCTATTTTCAGCGTTGTTCCACAAATGCAAAGCTTTGAAACACTCCTTTTTGTGTCTGGCCTTCTCTTCTACACTCTAGTTTCATCACCAAATTCTTTATCTATAAGTCCAAAAACCTTTTGATTCATCCAAAATTGCTTTAGTGGCCTTCATAACCATTGTAGCCATCTCATCCTCCATGATGTTGTGATTCCCAATCGCCTTCTAGTTTCCTCTTAATAGCCAGTAATTTTGTTACTAAACCATGTTTTGAGCTTTTTGGTTACGAGTCTGCCTCTCTTAGTCTTTATCTTGGAAATAATTTGTACTGCAAATCCCCTTCTTTTCCTTCCTCTCTCTCAGCTTTTAGCTGCATTCACATGAACATGAAATATCTTTGTTTTATTCATATATGATTGCAAGATTGCTGATGCTTGTGTGAAAACTTACTTAGTTATATATATTTTTGTGTCCCTTGTTAAGAATTTCAACTCTGAAGCTGATGCTCAAGCCAATCTGGCCATCAATCTTGCTGGTGAGGCCTTCTGAATTTATAATATTTCTTTAGCTTTTATGCACATGTATCTCTTGTAGTGTATGGATGTATTCTGATTATTAAGTTTTTTCTACTACTGCAGATGGCCAGGTCCAGGAGGTGCTAGATTAGTTCCAGAAAGCCAGCAACAATATTTTGGGTTTGCATCACAAAGCATTTGTGAGTTATTTTCTTTTTCTTTTTCTACCCACGGTGTAAAGCATCTGAGAATTTATTAATTAATTAAGAAACTATAGTCTCTCTAATTTAGATTTTGTTCTTTCATTTTGTAGGTGACCCGGCTGTTGGCCAATCGAACCATTTAGAATGAATCTTTTTATTCGGTCCTTAGTCACTTGAAAATGATTCATAGTTAGGTTGGCGGTTTAAAATGGCTTGTCCACTGTGGTAATCCTCTAAAGTTGAGGCACCAGCTGTTCCATTGATTTTTCTTCTGGGGAATCAATCCCATTAAGCTGAATTTTCTGGTTTGGTATGCCATCTAGGGGGGTTATTGGAACTGGAAAGATAATTCTTGTTCTATTAAACCTCTCTTTTTAGACCGCGTTTTCTTGTGATTTTGGGTTTAATGTACTTTCAATGTATAGAAGCACATACATTATAGATACAAATTTCAGTGCCCCTTGTATGGCTGGTAGGTCACTATGCTTCATTCTTAATGTGATCTTTACTAGAACATCAGAATTTGGCTCTACTTCAACTCTCCTATGTCCACAGTCAACTTAGCAATGCATTTATAAACTACATGATAAGAAATTCATCTTAGTTTGATTCATGGTTTCTTGATTCTCTCCTTTAGGCATAATTAGAAGCAGTGTTCCATTATTAACAATCTTGATCTTCTCTTGCCCTCTGATCAGAGCTCTCACATGACCACAAACCGTTTGATTTAATGAAAGGATAAAGCAAGCTGGCTATCCTTAATTGGTGCCTTAAAGGCCTCAATGGCAGATGTCGATCATATCACTTCTTCAGCATGTTAAAATTTAGTGTTTCTATCATCATCATTAAATCAGCTTTTTTATTTTCATGGGGAAAAAAACTACTTTGTTCAAGCTTTTTATTAGAAATTTATAACAACTTCAACTTATTTATGATTTTTAGTTATCTCCTGCATCATGAGAATTTATTGTATGCTCATGTTTAGCCTTAAGTACAAGTCATTTTCAATTACCATATCAAAAGCAAGAGAAGTTAATTATCTCATTAAAATGGTTTCAGAAGTGAGCACTTTTTATTTTTATCTCTAATTGATAATATCAATCTAAGGAAACAAATATTCCAAAATATATTGGAAATTTGCAAGAAGGGTGATACTGAAAAAGAAGAGCATTATAGAACCCGAGAATAATGCAAAGTGAAGTACATTTAGGACAACTAACAAACATAAAGGAAGTCCCAAAAAACAAAAGAAGAAAGAGAGAGAGAGAGAGAGAGAGTATTGCATGAAATACATGAGACGAAGTTTAAATTTGTTTGTAGACATCATACATTGGAACGAAGTCAAGTATGATGCGAAGGAAGAGCCTTGGCTTTAAAAAAAGTCTAATTGCTGGAAATTTACAAGACCAAGGCGAACGCATGTTTTAATTTGCTATATCATTAAATAGAATATAATCCGCGCTCGCTCGCCGCTGGAGTAGCTCAGTTAGTTAGAGCGTGTGGCTGTTAACCACAAGGTCGAAGGTTCAAGCCCTTCTCTAGCGATTTCCCCCCGATTTTATGAAATCTTTTTATATAATCCCCTGCTTTTTTTTTTTTTTAATTTCTCTAATTTTTTATATTACTCCTCTGTTTTTAAATACAATATTTTTTTATAGTGTAATTTTTTAAATTTAAGATCTCTTTTATAATGTAATTTTTTTTATTTAGGACCAGAGGAATATATCTTATTTTGCCTCTGTCTTCAATATAATAATTAATTAACTAATTTAAATTGATTAAAAAATTAAATTAAGTTTTTTTATATTATGATCTTGTTAATTCGATTCGTGGTTATTCATACTATATATAAGTTGATGTTTCTAAAGCATCATTATGACTATTATTAGATAGTAAATTCTTAATATAATTAGTAGGGATACTTTAAAAATAAATTATAAATTTAAGAGATATAATAAATTAGAGTTTTTTATGTTTAAAACAATAGACCGGTAAGCGTGTGATTACAGGGTTACTTGCAACAAACGGGGGAACTGATAATGTAGGACTTCACACACACATGTTAAATTTCCAAATCTTTATCTAAAACAAAAAAATAAATTATAATTAGGGCATTGCTCATTACATAGGCAGAATTCAATTTAATAAACACGCTAGTGGCCTATTTAACCCGCGTCTCAAAGAAATATGTGAAAAATTTTCACAACAATTTTAAATATTTATTTCAAACAAATAATAAATTATAACAAAATTTTTTAATAACAAAATTAAAATTTATTATCAAATGGGATGCAAAATTTTATATATCTCAGTAAAATAAAAAAATTTCCCAGTATTTTTAGATACGAAAAATTGTGTTTTTTTTAAATTAGGATTAAACAAAATTTACGATCAACAAGTATGATAAAAATAAATTACACTTAGATTTTTAAACAAATTTCAAGAACCTTCAAATAATTTTTCAACAATGTTTCTTATTTAAAATGGGAGTGTGAAACTGTTCTCAATGTGTCGGTCTATTATTGAGTAAATAGCGATAACCACAATAATAATAATGAAAAACGAGGGTCAAAATGACCCTGGCTTCTGTGATTTTCTTTGTATCGTGAGAATCTTTTTTGGGGGGGGGGGGGGGGGAGGTTAAAAATTACTAAATTTTAAATAATAAATTTTTTAAAAATGTGTTACTAGCTCTGGTCCTAATTATAAAAACTAGTTGATTAATTTGAGAAGATTAAAGAAAGAAATTAAGTTAGTTATTTGTAATAAATATGTGTTGTCTTTTTTAAAATGTCCTTGTTAATCTCATATATTAGCTAAAACTACTATTGTTGGAAGGATTACTTTTAAAAAAAATGTATAACTATGAGAGATAAAATGAATTGAGTTATTATATTTAGGACTAAAATAAAATTTAAACAAGGTTTTATATTTAAGATCGGAGGTAGTATTATTTTTAAAACTACTTGAGATTTAATAATGTTATACTTTTTTGGGGGAATTTTTTTTTACCCACAGTCTTATTAAAGATAATACTCCTTCCGTTCCTTATTATAAGAGACATTTGATGTTTATGGCATGTTCTCATATATAAGAGACACTTAAAAGTTGTCTCTATTTTTTGTATTGATTTCCTATTTTATCTCTATTTATTTTGTCTCCAACTTATACTCTCTTTCCCTCCTACTTCTCTTTTTTTTAATAATTTAATTGTTCTCTCTCATACTCTCTCTCCTTATTAATCGGGGCATTGTTGGAAAAAATATTATACTTTTTACACATTAATTGTTCTCAACTAATTTTAACTATTTTTTTTATCAACATAATTTGATTATTTGTCTTTTATAATAGGAAAAATGACAATAAAATACCACTTGAATTCCAAAAAGACAAATAAGGGACCTGAATAAGCAAAATGACAAAGAAGGCATCAGGTACCAATATGAGATTTTGATTTTAAATTTTACAAAACACATAGTGGGATTTACAACTTTCATAGTGAGAGTTACTACTTCGTCAATGGGTTTTACAACCTGTTTTGAAGGGCCGAGCAAGTTTTGCCTAATTTTACAAACACATAGTGGGATTTATAATTTTTATAATGAGAATTACTACTTGGTCAATGGCTTTTGCAACCTGTTTTGAGGGGTTAGGCAACTTTTCTGTAAAAAACAATACAATTTCACGCTGAATTTTACAAAACACATAGTGGGATTTACAACTTTCATAGTGAGAGTTACTACTTTGTCAATGGGTTTTGCAACATGTTTTAACATCAAAAATCAAAATTCCAGATTGATACCCAGTATCCTATTTGTCATTTTACTTATTCAAGTCCCTTATTTGTCTTTTTGAAATTTAAGTGGTATTTTATTGTCATTTTCCTTTTATAATAAGTAACAGAAGGAATAATATTCTAGACCATGTTGGGCATTTGTAAGCGCCTCTCAAGTCATTTTTTTTTTTTTCTGTTAGACTCGTGTCCATTTTTTTTCCCTTTTAACTAACGATTACAGTGTTGATTAATTAGGATTTGAAATCAAAACACGAGATTTGGTGCTTGAATTGAAACGAATGCTATTCTTGCCGTTCAACAAGTTTTGCTTCCTTGTCCAGAAAGAAAAAGAAGTCATGTTCGCGTCGCTTCGACGGAGAACCCGACGAAACTCCGCCTTCTCCTCCGAACCTATATAAGTTCTTGCGTGGCCGTCTTCTGAGGCTAATACGATCAAGAAGAAGATGCTTCGCAGAGGATTTCCGAACTTCTCGAACACCACCGCAACGACGCTCTCGTTTTCTTCATTCCGTCGCTGTCTTTCTTCATCTAAGAACACCGTTCCCTTCTCTGCCCCTGCTGTGGCTGATTCCGATGACGAAGAAACTCTTAATCCTCCTCGTTCTTCGGAACTTCTTTCCCAGCAAGTCACTCCTAGGTTGCTGCTTCCGAGAGTCGTGGTTTATGACGGCGTCTGTCATCTCTGTCACCGAGGTATTACTCCGTTCATTACCTTTCCTATTTGACCTTCCTATCTCTGGATTCTCTCTGTTCGATCGAAATGCTTCATTATATTCTCTTTCTTCTTTTCTTGTGCTCCTTGTCCGTCTTCTTTGTTTCTGGGCGGCTGTGTTTCTCGTTGTGATGTGGCCGGCTTCAATATTATTAGTATCTCATAAAATGAGCGATTCCGTTGGCCCTACATAATCAACCACGTGTTGCACCCGTAAGTGTTGATTCTTTCAAGACTTTTTTCGTCTGTCTATAATGCCGGTTATGAGTTTTTTGGTGTTTCTTCATGGAAATTGGTTTGGATCCTTCGTTCTTCTCCTTTTTCTCCTTGCACTCTAAATCTTAGCGCACCTAACGAATTTGATCCATGTGACTGTGAGGGAGCTTCCGCAAAATGATTGAATTCGTTGAATTTCTATTTAGTGTTATTTTCACGGTGGGGAAATAGTTTCTAATCTCTTAGCTGCGGGATGATAGTTGCGGCACGCTTTTACAGTTTTACTTGATTCTCTTGCTGAGTATGGTGAGAAGGTTGACATTGCCGGTAAATGTCTTGATCATGTTGGTACAATTGGTGTCCCTTGCATTGTTAATTGTGGGGACATTAGAATTACCAAACTTCTATATCAAGTTGCTGGGTTATTTTGTCTCAGAAGTGGCTTCTCCACAAATTTATGTCTAATTGATGCTAATGGAGTTTTAGATACTTGTATATCTTCATTCTCGTTGCGTAAGAATAGGTTCAGTTGGGAGAAGGAAGCAGCTTTCATATCATAGTTTATACCTGTACTGTCGCTATTTTAATACTTAGAACTTGTTACGTTGGAGGAATATACTTCTACTTCATTGGATCAAAAATGAAATTTCCCGGCCTTGATATTGTCCAGTCATTATTCAATCAGTTAACCTCTCAATTTCCAAAAATTTAGTTTAATTTCTTATGCATTTTCCAGATTCCATTCACATTGGGTCCATTTAATTGCATGGTCCTCTTTTAATATGTTACCTACAGTTATGAGTACATTTTGATTCTATTCTGCATGAACAGGTGTGAAATGGGTAATCAATGCCGACAATGACAAAAAGATTAAGTTCTGTTGCGTTCAATCCAAGGCTGCAGAGCCCTATTTGACAGCATGTGGTCTTGAGAAAAAGGATGTTCTCCGTCGCCTTTTATTTGTTGAGGGCCTGGGTTCATACAGTCAAGGATCTACTGGTTAGGACCTTTTCACCTATTAAATTCAATTGTGCCCAATCAGTCTTTTTGGCTTTCTGAGACAAATATACTGCATGCTCTTGAATTTGATCAGTTCCATGTTTACTTTAAGTTTTTCATAGAATCCATGAGATCTTAGGACCTTAAAAACCAATTTAAAATTGACATTGGGTGTTGACTGTTTAACATTCTGCATCTGCATACAGATTCAATCTTGCATTGACAGGTTTCCAATGCTGAAGTGACCAAGTCAGAATTTTTTCAAAGAAGTATTTCTTTCTGGGCCGTCTGTTTTTGCAGACCAGTCTGTTCAGATGGCAGAAAAAAAAATTATTTTCAAAACTCTGAGAAAAAAGCTTAGGCCTGCTACCATAGTTCTCCTCCATTGTTTCTTAGTCAAAGTTAGAGCCTCTTTAGGCTTGGAGCTCATAGACAATTTTGTTGTTGTTGGATAAAGGGCTTAGTAAATTACTCAGGAGATTATGGGGTGCAAATCCCTTCTACTTGAGTCTACAAAATAGCAACACTCAGCAAGTGGCTCTTACATGATATCTGTCTCCTCACTCAACGTCTATCCTTTCCTTTCTGGCCAGTTAGCAGAGTTGTTAGCTGCTCTGAATATATGGTTCAAACTGATGTTGGCTATGGCAGCGAACATTGACATGTCCTGCAAATTCTTGGCCTCTCTTGTAGATGGTGAGTTTTACCAATGGTTTTGTAATTCATTCCAGGATGCTTTTCCCCCTATTTGTTATTTTGACAATCATCCAATGAACTTAACATCCTACTGCTCCACTTTTCTAGTAGTGGTTGTTTGGTAGTCACTCATCAGCGAGATTCTAAGCCCCTGTTCTGCTTGTTTTCTCATTAACACCCATATCCAGGTGATGGTATTATGAAGATGCTTCATTTCTCTAGCTGTATTGCCCACGGCCAAAACATACTAGGTTTATACCTTCAGACAACACTTGGTAGACTTGGTTGCGAACAATTAATCTTGAGTGAGTTCTTTGTAAGATCCTCTTCAGCTTTAATCCTTGCCAAACAGCCCCTCTCAATTCTTGCATTATTGTTTCGCGTCTGGTTCATGGTGTTTGTATCTGCTTCGATAATCTTAGCGCCCTGCTTTCTATAAGAAGTTTCTATTGTGTTGAGTTATTCGGAAGTTAGGATCCTTACCCAAAAAAAGCTATCTTGTGTACAACATTGTTATCGGGGTCAAAACCTGGAGTCCAATGGTGAACAACTACATAGTGTTCCAATAGAACCAATGGTGCCTTGTTAAGAACATGACCGTAATCATTATCCTTCAAGAAAATGAACCAAAATGAGCTGTTCAGCATGAACTCTAGGATTCCCTACAGTTTCAGTAATTTGACCTTTAAAATCTGTGGCTCACTCTTCCCCTATAAGGTTGGAATTGAGGCTCCTTTCCATGGCTTTAGTCACCTACATGATATGGTACAGTTTCATAAGCTTCTTTGTCTATTCCATGAGGACCAACTCCTCTTAATTTCTAAGCATCATCCCATCCTTAGGCATTGGTATCACATTCTCTACCCTATTGTAGTTGAGTAGTGAACCTCTGTAAGAGATGGGCAATCTTAGGGTTGGCAGTATCTCTCTGTCTACCCTGGTGTATTTAAGTAGCGAAGCTCTTTAAGATAAGAGCAATCTAATGGAAGGAGTAGGAGTCATCTGGTTTTAAGGACTTTCCTTCAGATTTCCAACGAGGTTCTTTGATTGCTTTCTCCTCTAGATTCTCCTCATCATTCCAGGCTGGAACACGCCATTTCCCTCTTGAAGTTTCTTTATACCTCTAGTCATTATTCCTCTCCCTACTTTGAAGACTCAAGCCTGTCTCGCTCTCTCTCTGTTGCACCAATATTCTTTGGGTTTATGGCCCACTTATTTTTTAATCTGTCAAGGGCTCATATTTAAACTGCCAATATTTTTAGAATAAATTTCGTGTAGAATAAATGCCTAGATTAATATATGCTCCATTTACCAATTATAATTTTGTCATTCTCTCTGCCTTGCAAATGAGTTTGAGTATGCCAATTTAATCGTTCAAAAATGACTATGCAGCTGCATTACGGGCTGTTTCATACTTGCCACTGCCATACTCTGCTTTAAGCTTTCTGCTAGTGGTTCCAACGCCAGTCAGGGACTTTGTGTATGATTATATAGCAAAGCATCGCTATAAATGGTTTGGGAGGGCCGAGGCTTGCTTAGTTTTGCGAGAGAAAGAGCTGCTTGAGCGCTTCATCGATTGGGATGAATTGAATCGCAAATGAGATGCATGGTTTCAAGTGCCGCAGAGAAAAGCCATTATTACACTTTCCACACTAAAGGCCATTATTACACTTCCCACGTTAACTGTTTGGCGTCTTTGTGCTGCCGAAATTTTGTAAATGTATAGTGCCATCATGAAGTGCATAGATAGACAATGCTCAAGTCTCACCCAGTCAAAATAGCCCTGTCAAAAAGAATTATACTGCTGTCTTTTTGTCGCATACAATGATTCAAAACGAAGATCTGTAATACTATTTACAGTTCTAATTACAAGACTTCATTTATAATCTACAGGTGAAGTCTTGTAAATAGGACTTGATGTAGTACAAGATAAATGCTATCTGATTACGTAATTGTTTGCTGATTATGTTGTTCTGTCAAGTCAAAAATATCTTGGTTTAACAAATAAAGCTGATTATCTTGTGTACAAGTGCTTGTCAGAGATTCAGTTTGGTACTAAATATAGGATCTTAATTTCTTTTGTTTTCTATATTTATTGATTTTATTTTCAAGTAATTCTCATAGTAATTGCACATGTTAAGAAATTTTTATAAAGGGTAATTTTAATATATATGATTAATAAAGGTATTTTAAAATAAATATTTATTTATTACAAATAGTTAACTTAACTAATTATTTTTTTTATGACAACTTAACTAATTATTTTAGTGTTTGCAAATTTCTTTTGGTATATAATATTTAAAAATTAGTCATTTAGTTTTTATATTGAGGATTAAAGATATAATGTTTTAAAGAGCTTGTCTTGTGGTGGCTGCGGACCACTGAGAAGTAAGTTCCCCAATTTTTTTTCTACCCAACTTTTAATGTTGGGTTGTGAGGACGTAAGTTTGAACCTTCTATGTAATGGATGACATGAGTTATGGTTGAAAAAGAAGAGTGACACCAATGGCCAAAAAAAAAAAAATCAGGAAGGGTTACACAATTGTTAATACTACTTCCGGTTTTTTTAATAAGAGCTATTTTAATTTTTAATTTAATCCTAAATATAAAATCTCAATCTAGTGTCTCTTATATTTATTTATTTATTTTAAATAGTTATTGTAGTAATACAAATGTTAAAAACTCCATCAAATGGTAATTATAGCTAATACATATGATTAACAACAATATTTTAGAGAAAATAACAGATATTTATTACAAACAAATTAACTTAACTAATTTTCTTAATATACTCAAATTAATCAAGTAGTTTTTATATTAAGGATCAAAAATAGTAGCACAATAATATATTATGTATCTTATTTATAGCTGAGTATCAAATATTTCTTTATGTTAAAACCAGCAGGAATCAGAATGTAAGGTAGTGTTCGGTCAAAAAAGAGAAAAAAAGAACGTAAGGTGGTGCCTATCAAGGCTGTTGTAGCCATCACAGGGAATAAACAACGCGAACATATAGCATGGAGACCAGATATTACTCTTAGACGGATTATAGTTGCAACATTTTCATCTATATTAGTGAGACTCCAAGCTCACAAATTATAGTATCAGCAATATTTACTTCTCAAGAAGGGAAAAAAAAAAAAGCTCATGCCATAACATGACGACACTATACAACTTAATTATTATATCCAAGTCATTTGCATCTCATTCTTCTTACGTATTAAGGAACGCATTAAATTGATAAAACTTTTCACATTTGCTCTATTAAAAAAAATGGTATTGAAAAAAATATGTTGTACATTTTTTCTCACCTATTTCCTTTATTGTACTAAATAGGGATAAAATTAGGAAAATGTCATCAATTATCCCACAAGTGATTTACAATTAAGAACACAGCCTCCATGCCTAATTTCACCAACAAATTTTCCATCATAAAAAGTTCAAATTTCTGATTACACTCATTATCAATGGATTTATTACTACTAGCCCGTCTTAAAAAGAGACACAATTAACGTTAAAATTAAGATACAAAAAGGGTTCTACTTGTTTCTTTCATTTTTCAGTTGGTACCAGAAGCAGTCCATTCTTTCCAGTCACTGTCAACATGATTTTGAGCCCACTTGATAGCAGCACGTGCAGCCTGTGGCCCTCCTGGTAATCCCCTCTCATTTACAGTATCGGCCATGTCTATGAATGGTAACACCAATAGTGTCCCAGGTCCTCCATATTCTGAGTGTAAGAAAGTACTGAATATCTGTTCAACATTCACACAATATAGAGCCAATATTGATAAGTTCATTCTAATAATATTGTTTGCAATGCCCACCATAAGTTACAACCAATAAAACAGAGAGTGAATTCACCATTGATTGATTAGAGACAATGTCCACAAAAAGAGGACAGTCGAAGAGACAGACAACGTTTAACTTGAACTTGAAAATCACATATGAACAAATTTCAAGTAAAAAACATATTTATGGAGGACTGATCTACGAGAGAAAAACAAAGCATACCAATCATAGAGATGTTAGTATTTCAAACATATTTTTCAATGCTCCATCTTATAATGTTAGATATGGCTATATTCTGAGTATCTTCATGAGCTCTTTCATTTTCAGGAGTACATTACACATTTCTTTATAACAGATACAATGTTTTCCAAATGAAGTTCTATTCTATACAAGATTTCAGATGTCAAGCTCAATCTGAAGATAATAGTTCTCCATTACTCATCATAACAGATATCACAAAGGCCATGAACTAAACCAGTAAACACAGTTCAAGATCATTTTTTCCCAGTAACCACAGCTCTGGCTTCTTCTTTTTTTCTTTTTAATTTTAATCAAAGTTTGTCGCCCAATAAATCAGAAGAATCATGACACATGTTATAATCCGTAGCTTTATTCTGAGTCCCTATCTATATCTTACCCCTTCACAAGTCAGAAATGAGACTTTTCAGATTACTGGTATGTTATCAAAGGGGCCTAATAAACCAATCGCTTTACCCACAACATTGCTTTAGCATCACTAAAATCAAAGATGAGAAACAGAGTAAGCCCTAGCATTCGCCAGAAAATTTGTTGTTGAGCTCAACAAGTATATCATCTGAGACAACTTTGCTATATTTTGGAACAAAAGGGCAGAGAGCATAAGCATGGTAACTCACTTCGGTGCAAACACCTACAACTTCGTCAACTGATTCCCCATACACATCTTTCTTCGAAAGTTTCTTCAGAAGATGGTTTCTAAACTTTTTCGTCTCCTGAAAGCGGCGTAAAGAGGACATTAAGTAACTTTCTTCAACAGAACCCAAAAAATAACAATTGAAACAGAAACTCACGGCATCAGCAAATTCAGGAATTGGGTCAGGAAATTTGTATTCTGCAGCTCTAGTAACGAGCATTTTTGAGGATGAGGAGGAAGGAAATCCGTATTCCTTCGATGAAGGAAATGAGGAAATTTTTTTGTAAGTTGTTCCATATAAACGGCTCTGTGAGAAGCATAATGACCGAGCACAGAACAATGAAGAAGAAGATGAAGAAGGGATTGCATCGAATGTTGAAGCGGCAAAACACGAAGTAGAAGAGGCACACCAAGACATCTTAGTGACTTTATCCGATTTCCTTTTGCGCATGGGACGCTCGCTGCGACTTTTAAACTTGGGCTAATTTTACTGGGCATCTCGCTGCTATAAATTTTATATTTTATATTAATTAATATTAATTTTTATAAAATAAATTCTTGAAGACAAAATTTCAATTTTGGTAAATCCCATCCAGTTGTTTTTGTCTCTTTTGAATGCCTATATGATGCTACCTCCTGTACCTATAAGATGTGCTTTATAGGTTATCCTTATAACCGGAGTTAGTAAAAGATTAAAAAAATGGAATCAAATATGTAAAATAATTACTCCATAAATACAACTAGCAACATTCTATTTCAAGACAAAACCCAAATTATCTACATAAATACAATCGTTTTTGCATATTTGTATATTTTTCTTCCTCCACCAATATTTATTAGATATAGATTTGCATAAATTGTAACTTAGAGATATAGATTAAAATTAAAAAATAAAAATGACCGATTAAATTTAATCACTAATTTCGATCAATTCAAGGCCCATTGGCCAATTCATATCCAGATCAACCATTACACCATATTTCAGTTCAACTGATCAAATCAACCGACTCTCAAAACATTAATTTCATATGAATTTCAACTATTATTTTCATCTCTTCTTTATTATTTCATATTACATCCTAATAAATAGCATTTGAAGTTTCTTTCATCATTTTCTAAATGCGTCCCCACCTCATATTGGTATAGAGAAGAATTTTAAAGGAAAAAAGGATACAACAAAGGCATATATTCTTACATCCCATAGTGCACTGACAACTATTAGGATTTTTGGCATTGAAATTAGTACTTCAATAAGTTTTTCCCCCTGTATAAATAAGCCAATCATGTTCCTGATAAATTGATTGGCATACTAAAAATATTCTTGTTAATATTTCATTATATTGGGTTTTTCAATGAAAAAATCCTAAGAAAAATACTACTTAAATTTTAAAATCCTAAATTAGCCTTGTTCTTTACATTTTAATAGCAATTGACTATACTTGAAGAGCAATTAGTAACGTATTTTCATAGGAATTCTTGATTTAGGATTTTTGAAATTTAAGTGATTTTTTTTAATGGGATTTTGCCTTTCTCAATCAACTTTTGAGTTGTAAATGCCAGCCTGAATATGTGATTCGCTTATAACGTTTAATTAAATGTATATTATACACTCTTTCAGTTTTTAATATAAGAATTATTTTATTAATTTGATTAGATTAAAAAAATTAGATAAGTTAGTTAATTATAAAAAATATGACATGTTTTTCCTAAAACACCATGTTTATCTTTATTAATATTCTCCCTCTCTCTTTCACTTGATTATAGTTAAGAAAGTATTCATAAGGATAATTTAAAAAAAATTGATAAATATGATAAATAAATCTTATATTTAAGACCAAAATTAGCTCAAGAATTAGGTCCTATATTAAAGACTAGAGGAGTATATAAATTTATTAAGTACCATTTCAATACATTTCGAATGTGATCTCAATTTTAAGCTTCGTTCACGTCCCAAAATAAAAAAAGGTTTACAATTTGTGAAAGGAGGAAAAAAAAATCTCCATTGGAAAAACTTCCCCTTTGCAGCCAACTAATTCAAATCCAAATTAACGAGCACCAGCATATATCAGATAGTTTGTTAAAAAAAAATGCAAATTTAATAGACGCAATTTCTTGCATCGGAAAAGATAGCAATCAGCAAAAGCCAAGAACTTCTATTTTAGATTCATGAGAAAGGGCTCCTGAAAGGACTCGTAAGGTTCATGGAAGAGTAATACGGAGTCTGAACTGGTACAAGAAGTGAGTGAAAAGCCAAAAACTATGTACATATATACACAGAGTAAAACCGATCCACTCACTTGACGCAAAAAACAAAAAAAGAGACGAAAAACTTATTTACTTACAAGATGGTGGGCCCCTCCTGATGTCTAACTTCGCAATTTCTCATTTTAAAGATTTCTTTCATGTGGTTCAAGCCAAGGAAATCCCAGAAAATCAAACACTTCCTTTTCTGTGTGAAATTTCAGACTTGCTGTTCCTCTTCCACCCTGGAACATAGAGATGCATGACAAGTCAACTAATATTAATAATGCATAGGAGAATAGACTACAGTAACAACCACCCCAGAATGAAGCCATACCCGTTTACCACCAGAACCCTGAACAGCGGGGAACAAACCGGTGTCATCAAGCCGGAATCCTTTAGATTCTGCCAGCAGTCTCAACCTGTACTCAGCATCAAACTAAAGTGGTGACTTTCCAACTCAGATGATCAAGAAGGGATGAAAAAAGAACAAATTGCTCCAACCAGAGCAATGTGCCTATATATATGCTGCTGGGAGTGTCCAGTTTATTCCAAGGGAAAGAGAAGCAGTAAGCCATTAATTGTACCAAGGTTGGTCATTCCATTATGGTTACCAAATTGACCAGCTGTAAAATTTATACAGATGAAAAATCAATTTTGAAGTTCACATCAACACTTACATCATCGACAGTCCATTAACCAAGTCAGCTTCAAAGATCAGTGCCATAGCGGAGTTTAAGTAAAATCATCCACGATTGAATTGAAAACCAGTAAAGTGTAAGGACCAAAAAAAGTTGGATAAACTATAAAAAAACATGTAATTATCCCGAAAATTTAAAATTCTCATTCAAGTTCTGAAGGTATTCAAAATGCCTCAACATGTAAAACTGATACGGTAACACGGGGGAAAATACTAGCATAGTGATTAAAATTTATGAGAAATAAACAAATCAATACTTAAATCCCTGAAAACTGCACGAGCATACCTCCTATTTAAAACATCATTTCCTGTCCAAGCTATAAGTCCAAAAGCATATATGTCTCTTGGGTACACCTGCCAAAACATTAATATTTAGACTAATATTTTTTGCAGATGTCTATATAGTCGATGGTCAAAAGTCTACACATGAGGGAGGAGGGAAAGTGTGAGCAGACTACTTAGATATCCACAGCCAATATCGGATGATTTAGCAATTTATAATGCCGGCAAAAGAATGGAAGTACAAATTGAGACTTCAAAACTTCAAGAGCATCATGCAGAAAATATGGCACTCCGGATGCACATATGAATAAATTCACAACATTACACCAAGTCAAAAAGAGAAATCAGTAAACTCCACAATTTTTCCTGAACACTCAGAATCTTCATCAGACATTCAATAAAAGATCGATTACCATCTCTTACCTTTAAATCTATTCGATGGCGCAACTCCCGTCCAGGATAGGTGCAAAAACCAAAGTATGTGTCAACGCCAGAGTCAGTACCCTGAGTTTACTTAGACAAGTCAACAAGGAAACCTTTTGCATAACTCCGAATCACATGATCAAGGCAAGATTTTGTATACACAAATCACAATTGGAAGAATAGGGTTCATAGTTCATACTGCCATTTAAAAATCAAGGAAAAATGTGTCTTACATAATGGACAAGATAACTCCACATGCGCATACAATCACTGACATAATCATCAGTATAGTAATAAGATATACGAGGCATGTTTACCATCATGCAAAAAATACTTGGTTTTAAAGGAAATGGAAAGGACCTTTAACTTTCCAAGTAAAAAGAACACTAGAAAATAGGAAAAAGCTCATATTACCTCTTCACTGTGAATACTGAAAATCAAATCTTCTCTTAGGAAATTCATTTCCTTTAAACGCTGTACAAATTTTGTCAAAAATCCTTTGTGACTGCGAGCCAAAAACAAATCAACTGAGCCTTCAAACACAAAAATAGAAACTTTCCAGAACAAAACGTACAGAGGAATACACATTATTAGTCAGTCGCTTTCTCTTTTAACAGGAGGAGCAAAAGGATGGTGATGGATGCTGCATCCCTCCTTCCCCCCCCCCAAAAAAAAAACCATAAATGAAATTGTAAAGATATTGTAGGAGATATTATAAGATATGTAAATATCCTGTAATTAGTATATAGGATATGATGTGATATGATTTCATATTAATGAGCCATTAATACCTAGGCTCCTCTATTGTATATAAATACCCAATCGAAGTATCAATAAAATACACAATTTTCATTCTCTAAATTACATGGCATCAGAGCCAATTTACTAGGGTTAGAAGAAATTTTTTCTGGCCGCCAGCGTCCGTGCACTGTTCACCAGCATCCGTGCACTGTTCACACGCTACCAGAGGTCCGTTCTCCCGCCATCTACAGTGCACACGCGCCGGTCAGGGGAGGTCGCAGGGTTCCGATCGGCCAACCACCGGAGTCTCGTCGCCGTCCGAGCAGCGCGTGGCCTTCACGCGCCGTCACCCCGTCCGTGCACTGTTCACGCGCCGTCGCGTTTGCAGTGTTTTCCGGCGTCGTCTGTCATTTTCCGGCGTCCTCTCTCGGTTTCCGGCGTCTTCTGTTGTTCCCCGACCCATCCTTGCTACTTATACTTCGTGGGTCCCACTATTTGTTGTGATTCAGAGCAATTTTTTTTGGCTTCCTGAGAAAGCGTTGGTGCTCTGGTTTGTGGAATTCTGATCTATTTTTTATTTTGTGGTCCCTAGTGTGATCCATTTGACTGATTAGTGTTGTTGTGATCATTATTATCTTAATGGGTGATAACAAATCTGTTGTTCCTGAGGTGGTTCCAGTAGTCACTAAGATTACTGAACACAAACTAACTTGGAAAAATTACCTGGATTGGAGTAAGACTATTCGTATTTATTTTCGGAGTATTGAGAAGGAAGATCACTTGACTGACAATCCTCCTGATGAAGAGGATGCCTCTCGCAAGTCATGGTTAAGAGATGATGCACGACTTCTGTTACAACTTCGTAACTCTATTGACAGTGAGATCATGCCTTCTATTACTCATTGTGAATTTGTTAAAGAGCTAATGGATTATTTGGCCCTCTTATACTCAGGAAAGAACAACATCTCTCGTATTTACGAGGTCTGCAGATCGTTCTATCGGTCCGAGATGCCCGTTGACCGTTCCCTCAC